AGGTTTTACTGTTGGCATATTATTCAGCTTCAAGTCACAGTTGTATGAGACAAAAAGAAAACCCAGGAATGGCCGCCATATTGATTCCTTCGTCCCAAGGCCCATAGCTAGCCTGCGTTTTCTTTCAACAATTGCAAAACACTGTGCCACTTCTCTCCACCTTTCAGAATCTTCTTAGACTGTTGTTTACATAGTGTTCAGAAGGTTTAGCTGTAGCTAGTAGGAGGAGCAGGGAAACTTACAGCTACTCCATCGTCCTGGAAGCTGAAGTTGAATAAGCCCACTTTGCCACCAGGTAAAAACCATGCAACTCTGGGGCTCCAGGTTCTCAAAGGAGGACTTTCAATAGGTGTCACAAAGCCAAAGAAACTGGAAGATGGTGACATTCTCCAACATACCAACACCAAAACCGAACACACAAACACATTTCCATTAGGGTATTAGTTTCTGTGGCTGGATATCTGGATGGGAGAAATGATAAGGAATGAGTGAAACTGGGGACTGGGTATTCTATTTATAAGAACAAAGGGATTAGTAAAGCCAACAGAGTAAATTAAATTGTATTGGAGAAGAGATTATAGTCCTTTAGAGAGCTCGATCTGTTCAAGGTGATGTCCTCAAATGACAGTGACTCTTACCAGCTTTTGCTTCTCCTCCTGCCCACCAAGGGGAATGTTTTTATTTACTTTATATGGAAAATCTGTTCTGGGAGTTTATATTTAGCTACTTGTATTTGATCAACAATGAGTTGGTTACACAACAAAGGATAAAACTACTGTTTGCTTAATCAGATTTTTTTAAAGTGATATTCTGAGCTTAAATAAAATGTTAAAATGTTAATGTACCTTTATGAACTCGATTTGTTGCCATGCTGGCCCTTGACACAAATGGGAGGGAGTCTGGATCAGTTGGCTTGGGCTGCCACTACAGAGGGGAGGTCAGAACGCAGACTTTCATGGGGGGGAAGACCGCTTGAAGCAGGACGCAGGAGGAGGCGGCCGTCTACAAGCCCAGAAGAGGGATTTCTTGACCTCAGACCCCCAACCTCCAGAACTGTGAGAAAATATATTTCTTTTGCTTAAGACCCCCACTCTATGGTACTTTACCATGGCAGCCCTCACCCGCGCACACTGGGACCTGTGGGAGGCAGAGGGCTGGGTGGGACAGAAACTTGCTCCCTGGAGCAGGGCAGAACAGCAGGGGATGATGAGGGGACACTGTCAGAAGGGTAGCCCAGGACCACAGCCGGGAGCCCCAAGCCATTTGGGAGCATCATTCCCCTCCCTGCAGAGGTCACTGCAGGGAGACCTTAGCAGATGGCCCTGGAGGAGGACACCGGGCAGCTGGGGGCTGTGCCAGTGCACAGGGGCAACCAGAAGAACTGTTGGACTGTGTTCCAGTTGGATAAATCTGGCTTCAGCAAACTCGGTTCTGAGGCTCTGCTCATCCCAGCCCCTCACCCTCCTCATCCTCTTGGCCTTGGGGGCAGTCTTCTTGCTCTTGGAAGACACCATGGCTTCCCCACCTCCAGGCCTTTGTATCTGCTCTTCCTTATACCTGGGACTCCCCCAGCTCCCTTCTCCCAGGCTTCTGGTCGAGCAACTCCTATTCAATTTTGTTGCTCAGCTTAAACATGAAGTCTTCAGATAATCCTTCCATACGCATTCCATCCCACTATCAGTTAATTGCCACTTTCACATCAAGCAATTCTGCATTTTCCCATTAGAGCATCCTTCCCAACGCACGCTCCTCCCCTGGTGAAGGCAGAGACTGCGTCCTGTTTATGACCAGCATTGGTCAGGTGATTACTGATGGGTAGAGAAGTGAGGCAGGAGCTAGGAAGCCGACTGACCTTCCACTTGGGCAAACTGGGGGGATGGACAATGGCGCTGGTGGGACTCCAGGAGAAAAGTGACAGGTAGGTAGATAAAGTTGGTTGTAAGGAGGGACGCCCCGGTCTCTTCCTTGCCTTCACTTACTAATGGTCCCTTCACTTCACTTACTGATTACTGACAAAGACTTAATTCCGACGCCCCACCAGCGAGGTGCCCACCTCCCCACCAGTAGGCAGGCTTCCCCTGAGCGAGGACTCCTCAGACGCTCCAGGTCTCCCCTCGTGAGTGCCTGGCCTCAGCTGGGGTTAATTTTCTTTCCCTCTTTCATTTTCGTCTGGTTAGTACTAAACATGTTACAGCTCCAGATGTCTGGAGGGTCCAGAGGACTTGGCTCCCACCCCATCTCTGTGGTCCCCATGGATGCTGGGGGTGGGGGAGGAGGGCAGGATGGGCCTGTCCTCACACACTGTCTCCTCGTGCCCTGAGGGGCCCTGCAGGTCAGGTGGCCAGATTTAGCAAATACAAGCGGAAGATGCCCAATTAAATATGAATTTCAGGCAGACGCTGAATAACGTCTTAGCGCAGGTAGGTCTCATCATGCTTGCAACTTACTTAGGATCATCGACTCACTGTTTATCTAACATTTGCATTGTAGCTGGGCAGCCAGCATTTCATCAGGCCACCCTCCCAGGAGGCAAGTGACCCGATTTCTCCACTCTCACCAGCACCCGTCACGTCACTTATACAAACACCGCTGGGGATGGAGATTCAGTGTCTGCTCGCAAAGCCTTCCAGCCGGCCTGCTGATGGGACATTCGGGGGCCATCATTCTCCCAGGCTCCCCGTGGTTCCTACAGTTCTTAGCCCTCGGGCCCGGGACTTCAGCTTTGCATCTCCGTCTCCTCCTTCAGCTCAGGCCTTGGGTCCTCCAAGTCCCACTCAAAGCAGTTTGCCCCATTAGTTTGCTTTGCAGCAGGGCAAGTGGTCTGGAGCTGGGCACGGCCTCCTCCAGGCGGGCCACAGGCTGTGTTATCCTGCGGCTCACCTTTTCAGTGCCTTCGTCCTCATTGTCCTCCCATGCTCTGCCTTTCTTAGGGTTATAACTAAACACACACCTGCACATGAACACACATATGTGTGAATAGGCACATACATACATACACACGTACAGTATTCATGCATACCTATATGTACACACAAACACATGTATACACGCAGATGCACAGACGTGTACACATACCTACACAGACATACATGCACACACAGACATATACAGAGGATCTGAAGGCACAGGCACACAGGAGAACAATGGCCACGTGAAGACAGGCAGAGACTAAAGTGATGCAGTCACAAAACAAGGAACACCTGCGGCCACCAGAAGCAGGACGAGACAAGAGGACCCTCCCGTGGCATCTTCAGAGGGAGCGTGGCCCTGCTGACAGTTGTATTTGAGACTTCCGGCCTCCGGTACTGTGAGACAATAAGTTTCTGTTGTCTTAAGCCACCCAGTGTGTGGTACTTGGCCACGGCAGGCCCAGGAAGCTAATCACGGCCCCTCAAAAACAACGCGGTAATGATCAGCCGGTAAGTCAGGTCCATTACCCAGCTGACCCAGAAAACACAGGGCTAAAACTGGCGCATCTGATAACAGGCGCCTGGGAGTTAAGCTCTCACGGAGGCGCAGTGAACCGGGCAGGAGCTGGCCCACAAGCCGGGAGGAGACCGCAAGGCTCATCTGGGTCACGCACCAGAAAACTCCTCTGCGTTCTGGGAAACATAGGGTCTGCGGTGGTCTGAGAGGATTCTGGTACGGCCTTGCTGGCCAAAAGCGTCAGGCAGCGTCGTGCGCCGCGGTTCGGCTGGAGTCGCTGGGGGTTCTGGGGCGGCCTGGGGGACGGACAGGGAGGGGGCGGTTCGGGAATGAGAGCACCCCAAAATCAGGGCACAGGGCACGGCTGAAGCCATGTTTAGAGAGCTGTATGCTGGCTGACATTTAAAAATCTCTGCATAAAAACAGATCACTTCTGTACAGCACAGGGAACCGTATTCAATATCTTATAATAACCTTTAATGAAAAAGAATATACGTGTATGTGTATGATGGGGACAGTGCGCTGCGCCCCAGAGACTGACACATTGCAACTGACTGTACTTCAGTCAAAACTAATCTAGGTCCGGAGACATACACTGCAAAATCTAAAGTGCACACTCTGAAATCATATGGGTAGAACGGCCAGAACTAAGGCCTTTGGCTTACATTTCCTTATCAAAGGGTATTCTGCCTTCCGCTCTCACTCAGTGCCTGCTGCTCCCGGTCTGAACTGGCGCCCGCTGGCTGCCGGAGCCGGCCCTCCGAGGGCGTGGGCCAGGGGGCGCCTTCGGGTGCGCCCTGTGTGTCTCTCCGAGGCCGCCGGCGGGGCAGGGGCTCCTACGGGGCGCGGCACGGCGCTCGGCGAGAGGGGCCAAGGGCTTCGCCTGGTCTCCGCCAGCCAGGCAGCTGCTCACCTAGACAGGCCGCGTGGTGAGGGCTGCCTTGATGAAGTGGGTGCCAGCTCCCTCATCCTCCCCCACAAAGACCCATGCCGAGAAAACCCCGCGGTGTTTTCCGGGTGACAGGGGACCCTCAACCCCAAGAGACCGGTGCCTTTGTGTTGCTTGGCGCCTGACCCTGTGTGGGCTGGCTCCTCGCTCCGTCTGTGAAGCCACAGGTGGTAAACAAATAAACTGATGCTCCGTTCGAGCCCATAAACAGCCCTCTCTCTCCCACCATCGGCTGCAAACTCCCACGCGCTCCCCCCTGTATTCTTTCCCAACTCTTCTCTGAAATGTAGGACCCAAAATGCATGAAAACTTTTGATCCAGATCCTGCCATGAAGATAAAAAAAAAAGTTAATCCCCGTGTTTATAGAGATTATCTGTTCTGTTCTATATTTCATCCTGGTGATCGTTATCTGCGCTATTAATAAGTTCTGGAGTAAAATGAGGCACTGGCTAATTCAGGAGGTGCTTTGAGGCCATTAAAATGGTAAGGATCTTGACACCAGATTAAAAAAAAAACTTTCAGATGCTCTTAAAACATCACATGTGCTTGTCCTTAAAATGCGGACCAGAGCTACTGAGTCGCTTTGCCACCGGCTCCCCGACTAGAGCTGTGTGTCACCGTGCGCTTGACTTCAACTTTTTGAGCCTTGATTTCTTCATATTAAACTGTGAATCAGACAACGACAATCACTGAACACGGATGTCTATGGTAAAGTAAAAAATGAGATGACGCGGTCCCCGCTCTGGAAAGCCGGAGGATCAGCACACCTTCCCCTTGCTCCAAGAAGGAGCATCTGCCTATTCTCAAAGGCCACAAATATCACCTTTCTTTTTATCGCAGGTGAGAGACCTGCATGGCCTTTGGGGGCGCGTGATGGGCAACCGTGAGCCTGTGGACCTGCCCGGAGACCTGGGCTTGGGCTGCCTCTGCTTGACTGTGGATCCTGACAAGCCTCCTCGTGGGGCACCTACACTGTCCTGGTCACAGGGGCTCAGAAGAGCTTCCCTTCTTACCCAGTGTCACCAGCTTCAGGGGCCACGCTCTGAAGCAATCTCAGATTTCCCTATTCCTTTGTAATTTCACTGTCTGGATCCTCATCCAACCCTGTTCATTTCTTTCTGATATTTTCTCCTTTGTTCTGTTTCCTCTCTAGGCCCTCTTATGCATTCATTATTGCTGCCATAATCTTTTAAAAATACTATGATCATTGCTCTCCCCTTAATCATTTAGTTTCATATTTGGGTCAGACTTTACCAGTCCCAAATTGTTTCTTTCTTTCTTTTTTTAATGAAGTATATTTGGTTTACACTGTTGTGTTAATTTCTGGTGTACAGCATTGTGATTCAAATATATATATATTTCTTCTCATCTTCTTTTTCATTATAGGCTATTATGAGGTATGGAATACAATTTCCTGTGTTATACAGTTATACAGTTTATCTATTTTATATATAATAGTTTGTATCTGCAAATCCCAAACTCCCAATTTATCCCTCCCAAGCCCCTGTCCCCCTGGTAACCACAAATTTGTTTTCTATGTCTGGGAGTCCAAACCGTTCCTTATTGTCCCCCAGCCCTCTGTGTTCATTATACTGATTTCAAACTTTCGGCTGCAGGTGTCAGAGAACCAGCCTAACGGTGCCATAGGCAAGAGGACCCCTCACGGAGTCACGGAGCCTGACTCTGGGGTGAGACCATCCCGAGATTACTTTAGAAGCTCAGCAAGCTCCGCCTTCCAGCGTGGCCCTCTCCCGTCATCACCACCTGGGTCCAAGGGTCCTGGCACAGCTCAGCAGGCAGCTGACAGCCCCCGTCCTCAACTGCCCTTCCCCTCTCACTGTCCTCTGTCCCAAAGATCGGCCTTTTGGGCTTTTATTTGACTTAGAATTTTCTCTGTCTCTCTCTAAACCAAATCTTCTTCCTTTGAGGCCAAATCATTGCCTCCTCTCAGCCCTCCTGGATTTAACATATCTTCTCATTTTCTGTATTCTTGGTCCTCCAGCAGCTGGAGTCTTGCTGACCAGGAGGCACTGCTCTTCCTAGGACGAGCTAATCCGTGGAGATAGCACACGGCCCACCCAGGGGCGTGCTATTTGTATGCAAAGTAGCTGATCCAGCCCCCTCCTCCTCTATGAGGCTTCCACACTCCAGGCCTGTATTTCTTTGCCCTGATCACCCCAGGGCCAGGTACCAGACAATTCCGGGGGGGCAGCCTCTACATCCCAGAGCCCTATGAAATTATTCAGACCAGCCAATCCCAAACGAGCTAATGATGCATTCTCTGTCTCGCCAGTTCCTTCCCATGAAAGTCACTCCACAGACTCTGGCCATGTTTTGCACTCTCCCTCTGCCTCCTGGCCGCCCCCGATGCTTCCCCCAGTGGCCCTGCAGGGCACGCTCCCTCCTCCTGAGAACTGTAAGTAACACACTGTCTTTTCAGTGGCCGTCATCACCGTCTCCCGATTTGTTGGCCTCTCCATACCTAGATAATCATGAAGCCTCTGTTTTAAAACACTTCCCAAGCTAGCTTTAGCAGTAGTAGGAACCAATGGAGCTTTCCTTTCCCAGACATTTACGTCTTGTGAAGCCTTGGATTCAAAAGTGAATCATGCACGTTGGCTGGATGGAGACAGCAAAGAGCTGTGGGGAAGACGAGACAACCTGCCAGGATGGCAGCTTTATTATTTCTGAAGGGGCTGGAAGGGACAGAAAGATGATGGAGAGGGCCGCCGAATGTGGCTAGGCAGAAATGAAAACCATGGGGGTGAGAATAACTAATTTAAATTGTACTAAAGACAGAAAGTGAGAGATCCCTTAGAAAGCCCACACAGCAGACTTGAGAGGGAAGGGAAAAGTGAACAAGGAATTT